TTTTTGAATGTAAAATATATAGTATATATATATATATATAATATGTATGTGAAAAGAAAAAAATGAAATAAAAAATAAAAATCATATAAATCGGGGGTAACAAACCATATTTCAACATACTCGCACAGATTATTATGATAATAATATGACGTCGACACGGTCATGCGTGCAGTGCGACGACAAAATATACGAGTATATAGGTTATATGGGATTCATATATTATTATAATAATCGTGTATTTTTAATACAAAAGCTACTGGCGAATGTATAATATTATGCATGTTCGTACCTATATACTTAAAGCGTTGCCAAATATTTATGAATGAAAAATTCAAAAACGGAAATTCGTACTTTGTGCGAACGTCGTGGCTATATCGGTAGGTAGTTTTTCTCCGGGATTTAAAATACGAATATTAAAATAAGCTGCATACTATTATGTACTATACAGTCTTGCTTTTGTATTCTATTAGCGTTAACAAACGATACAACATAATAGGCATATTTTACAATTTTCAATACTATAAAGACTCTATCAAATGTGTTTACTATTTACTGTATCAAAGACAAATCACTTTTTACAAACACTCGCGCGCAGTCCGTGCGCAATCGTTATATGTGTAATTTCGTAAAAATTGATATTTTAAAATGCAGGCAATAAAGGTGATACAGGCATCAAGTTACGAAAAGAATGCGCTGAGAACTACTACAGCAAATCAATCAAACGATTGAAGATGGGAAGAAGACAGAAACCGATAAAGTCCAATATTTACAAGTATATACAGTAAAAGTATTATCGGTACGTATCTATTACATTTGTATTTATTTATTTAAGGACTTTTATTTGATCAAAAAATCCAATTTGTATTTATTTTCAATTAGACGTGAACTGCATTTGACAAACAATACGATAATATTAATAATAGTAAGTATGTAGGTCATAGATTATGTTATACAGAAAATGAAACAAAACTGATAGAACGGAGTAGAGACGGAGAATCAATTTGATTAGATAGGAGATTGGAAACAAAGCGTGAGTTTGCCAAATCAGAAAGGATTAACGTAAGTAGGATAGATAAATAATAACGAGGTGAGCGAGGAAGTTTGAGCTATTAGAAGCAACCATGTGGAGGAATTTTCTCTAGACACAATCGATCATATCATTAGCGATAGAAGTGTTAGGGTTCCTGAGTACAAAACCATATACTCTAGAACGAGCACATTAGAGAGATTTGTGTGATGCGGAGAAACGAAACTCATGAGAGACACGGTTAATGAAACCTACAAGCAACTTGAGAGATTTGTAGCGAGCCTCTTCAACGTGCAACAAAGCTACAAAGGAACACAATATGTAAGATTGCAGGCGAGTATGAATCTTATAGGTCACGGTGGAGTTGCTTGCTGGTTTGTATTAATGTTATTATTATTAGATATATCACCAATTGTGCACACAACCAGCCTAACAAAAAAATGATACGAATTGTCAACGAGAACCAATCTCTTTAATTTCTGTTAATTGTCTCGTATTTATATTACTATATATATATATATCTATTACTATACCAATATAAGGTAGCGCACATTGAATTGTATTTACTTATTCTGTTGTAAATTATATGTTAAATTGAACTCCAGTCCATATTGTAATAACAAATAAATAAATAAATAATTGTTTAAATCAATGCCGATTAGAAAGTTAATAGATTCACGTAAAGTTCCAATGGACGGTTATGAAATACGCACGTGTCCGAACGGTAATCACACAATAGTATTTATTTGCAGTAATTGTCTGCAGTATGCGGGTACCTAATAATTATTATATGATATGATTAAAGCAGTTCGGAAGAGAAATAATATTTTCATAAATGCACTCGACGAAAATAATTATTATGATAAAACGTTAATGGTATACGCATTGAGAACAGTAATTTTATTCGACACGACAGGACTACTATATAGTATTATTCGTATTTTTTGTTAATTTTAAACATTATGATGCAAATGATGCGTATCTGCGCAGAAAAGAGAGATAATAAATAGCATAAACGTTTTACAAAACTACGCCTCGCGAAAAAGCAGCAAAATAAAATAATATATTTGAAATGTGAAAAATACTTATCATTGTAGGGAAACAGTCACGTAACTACGCTATATATTACGAAACGGCACTCCGGTGAACGACATGTGCGTATAAAACATCTTAAAGGTTAAAGGATGATGGTTTATTTACGATACATAAAAAACACCATACGATTAATAGATACTATTATACTTTTACAAGCTCCTCAAATTATTAGCTTGTGACTTTGGGCCCAGGTGAACCAGGCGAACGTGAGAGAATGCCGAAATGACTTAAAAAATTAATAATGACTCGTTACTCGTTACTCGTATGGGCAACACAAAAACGATAAAAAAAAAAACCGAGTTGATATTTGTAGTAAAGTTGAATCATTTTTTTTTCTGCGCCGAAAACGATGTACGTTCGAATACCTGTAACGGTATAGTATGGAATTCATTGTATACATAAGAATTTGAAAAACGGATTTCCACATAGACCGTAGGAATATTATAAAAGCGTATCATATAATATTTGTTGTTATATTTAGCGAGCGAAATATAATTTGATTATATTTTTTATTGTTTAAACGTATTGAATACAACAATAAGGATGATAAGTTAATATAATATTATATAGATACCAGGTACGATAAGTTTTAATTTCCAAAATTCAACATTTATACACTACCAGTTTAGTAATTTTTTATTCTGGAATAGCGCTAAAAAATTGATATTCAAATCATGTTTATAAATATAGTATTACGTTTACAAGGAAAGTATGGTTTATCTTGATACAACGAAAATAAAAGAAAAACGAGACTAAGAACAATCTTATCGAATAATAATAATGTCAGTAACTCGTAACTTAATCTAACATGACAATTAAATCGTACTCCAAAACCAATCAACGGGGTTAATATTATCCATCCTAAATGACGTTGTCCGCAGTCCAATCACAAATCTTTCTCGTGGACGTTTTTTTTCAAAAAGAAAGTTTCCTAGATGCCTTACAAATTGCACGATTATAGACTCCACAGTGTAGGACAAGCATGTCAAACACTCGGCTCCCGACTTAGTTTTATGCGGTCCCAGTCATACTGAAAAATAAAATGAAATGCGGCCTAAATCAAAAAAGAATAAAAGAAACATAATATATTGAATTTGTATTTATTATTTGATTTATATTTTCTATATGTTTTGAATGTTATTGGCTATTATCTCAAAATTTAAAAATTCAACAAGTTAATATTAAATTATATTATGTGTACCTATTGATGATATATACATATATATTAGGGTGGTCCTTAGATATAGATGATAGAAAAAAAAATATTTTTATTGCTGGACTCCCCTATTTTTTTTATTATCATATAAAAGTTATATGGAAGAAATTTGAGCATATTTACTCATCCTGTTCTCGTGCTCCGAGAGGATTGAAAGTAGGACAAAAAGGGTGGATTGATGTTTTTCTGTATTTTATTCAAAAAATATAAGATTTTACATAAAAATGTATTGAACGTTAATTGTAGAAAAAAATTATTTTCTATGAAAATATATTTACAGTATTTTTCGTAAATCTATTATACTACACGAAAAATAATAAAATATAAAATATTTAATTTATTTAGGAAAATCCATTAATGAAATTATTTATTTATTATTATTAAATGTATGTCTATCATTTCATAGATTTACTTTTAGACGAACTTCAGCTGAAATAATATTTTCGAAATAAATTTTACTATGGAAATTTAGTACATACTTGTACCTAATAATATCTTTTCTATGTTATAGCTTATATCTTATTAATTATTAATCTTATCAGTTATTAGATTATTAAATACAATTTATCTTTAAATTGCATGCTTGGAATTTTCTGTTAGTAAATCCGTGACAGTTATGTTTATCATACTAATGATATAATATATTTTTCCATTTAAAGTTAAATTTTTAAATGATTTTTTGTAATTATTAAAATGTATCAACATTTTTTTGTTAAAAATGTTCCGAATGACGATTTATTTAATTGGCTTAATGGATAATCAAATTCTTGGCAGCAAATTAACTGCATTAAGAAATTGTATGAAAGTTTTATTTTTTAATATGCGAAGAATGAAAAAGTCGTATAAATTATGGTGAAATCTTGGAAAACATAAAGAACGGAAAAGTGAAACATACCATAACAATCCCAGATTGAAGAGTTCGAAAAAAAATTAGACAACTTATTTAATCTAGAACATGCAAATGTATTTGACATTATGAAAATTGAAATTGATAAAGTATTTTTACGTTCACAAAGAATGCCAGGTCGTCTAGATTGTTTGTTAGGAGTTGACATGCAGCTAATAAAAAAAAAAAAAAAAAAAAGGAAAAACTATTAGAAGAAATGAAGAAGCAATAAAACGGGAAAAATATGAATCTGGACATTCAAATATTTAACTAGGTAATTATTACAATTTTAATAATGAAAAATATTAAACTTTCTATAATACCTTTATACTCATTGGTTATACTAAACATTTTATTATTCTTATATTATAGTTGAAACACTCGCTCTGGCGTTCGTTAGTTCAGAGAAAGAGGAGGATACAGAATGCAGTATGAATTTAATTAAAATTGAAATTGAAGATAGATCTGCTTCATGTGGAGTTCAGAGAGCAAAAATAGCAATCATGGCATCTAGACTTTCTGCAGCTTTAGATAAGTGTAAGGTCAGTGATAGAGACGTAGTACATTTATTAACAGCATGTGTAGAAAGTCTTTCTTTAAATGCAGCCAATTAAATGATTCATCGAACGTCTATTAAAAATAGCCGGGAAATTTATCGAGAGGAAATCTCAGAAAAAGTTCGTTCAGATTTGTTTAGGTTAAATATTGATTTTGTAATTGCACATTGGGATATAAAATTACTTCTCAACTTGAGTGGCCAAGAAAAAGTCGATCGTTTTCCAGTAATTGTTTTGACTCCTAATGGAGAATAACGTCTTGGAGTTTCACACATCGCATCAGGAACGAGCAGTGAAATATTATCAGCCGTATATGATTGTTTAGACGAATGGGTATTACTTGATAAAGTACAAGGTTTTATATTTGATACGACTGCAACAAACACCGGCAGACTAAATGGGACATGTACACTTTTGGAGCAGAAATTGAATAGGAACATTATTTATTTTGCTTTTAGGTATCATGTTTTGAAGTTGGTTATCCAGGATAAGATCAAATCCTATATTTTTTGAATAAAATACAAAAGACCATCAAACTACGAGGCACAAGAAGGGTAAGGACCACTCAATATATATATACAGTGGTCGCCGCTTTTTATAATCACGGTTAATGTTAACAATCGTTTATTGCTATCGATAAGTATAAGTACGGGCCGGATGTATACTTATACATGTAAATTACGTCAGTTTTTGTAATCAATACGCCACATAATGTTATCAGTTTGAGGTACGTTTGTACGAGTATATTTAACATACGATCAAAGTATTCGTCGAATAATAAAAGATAAGAAAAATAATAAAAGTATCGAGGAGGAGAAAGAAGAAGAATATGAAGAAGTAACAATTTTATATTTTTTGCACCTACATATGTACTTTCATTAGAAATACATAATAATAAATTAAATAATAATATTTTTTAATAACTGTGTATTAAATTTTATGCACCACTAAATTATTATTATTTTTTTGGTTTAACGTATGTTTTATTATTTTTTCAACTTTCGTTTAGTGTTATCAATCGGCTTATGTTATCAGTTATGTCCCGTACTAAAATGGTTAAATTGGGCGGCGACCACTACATATATATATATATATATATATATATACTTCTATATATTACTATCGATAAAAACTGATAATATTATCAAAATGATTAATTTTAGAAACTTGGAAATTCTTTTGCGAGATAATGTTAACGTTTGGTAGCACTTTTTAGTGTGAGAAACTATTCTTATTAATGAAAGAAAATAAGTCTCCTACTAGGTTCAGTTTGACAGACACATTCATTTTGGTTTGGTGTTAAAAGTGTTATAATCTATAACATTTCTCTCAAAATAGAAAAGTTAGTGGCAGAAAAAAAGAGATATTCCCGAATATCTGTGGGAAGAAAAATGAACACAAATTGTATATAGTGTATTGTTTTTTAAAATTTTGTATGAATAATTATTAATAATCTATAACTATAAAATATAAAAATATTTAATTGTTTATAATAAATTCAATTATATTAGAATTCATTTTTCTTTTGCGGCCCATATATATATAATTTTTTCGTTTATTTGGCCAAAGTAATACTTTGAGTTTGACATGCCTGGTGTAGGACAAGGAGAGAAAGAACACTCATCCTGTCACCCCTACCTTCAACTTGTCTAATCAATTTTCCATTTACGACTGTAACAATATAGTATATATAACCATATGTAATCGTTAAAAATTTAATCTATAGAAACGCGTAAATCTTTATAGTCCGAAAACGTGACTATGTGAAGTACTAATATATTATATAGACGAATATATATTTTATTTTCACTGATCTCGTGTTAGCATGGAATTTAGTGGACGTAAAAGTACTGACTGGGAGTAAAGTACACAATATTGGACGTTTGATTCGATAGTATATACTTATAAAAATATCAGGATCAGTTCAAAAGATTCGAAAGGTAGGTAGGGAAGTCTGTCTTACTATAGGAAATCTATGAAAAAATATATTACCCTTCAAACTACAGACGACGAAAAGTTCCTGAAATAATATGTATTTGTGTAGAGTGTGGTTTCATGGCTGTGAAACTTGTAATTGGTAATAGAAAATTGGTACAAAAGAGAAAAAAAAAATAGGGAGTTTTTAAATGTAGTGTTATTGGAAAATGCTTAAGATTCAATGGCCATAAAGAGAAGAAAACCAAGAAGTACCTAATGCAGAACACAAATTTTTCATGGAGTTAATCAGATGAGACAAATTTATAAAATGATACTGCATTTATTGTATAACAGTTATTTTGACGTCGTAAAAAGAGATATATAATATATTGGTTATATTTGAAGAGCCAGATCGAGGGTGGAGTAGATTCATATAAAACGAATTATGATAGTCATGGACAATAATTTATCTACAGGGATTTAAACGAATTAAGTTATGGCATAAAAATTCGCAACAAACCAATCAGGCAATTTATTGAAAACGTGAGAAGAAGAAAACTACATTATGTAGATGTGGCTCTAAGAACATAGAATATTCACTTCCAATATACTCATAGAAAATGATTAAAAATGTAAAAATGTTTATTTCGGTTGTTTCATGATATTGTCATGACAATACGGTTTGTATAACAAACACATATATATGAGTGTAAATACCGAATTTATGAAAGCAACGACCAAGGTATTGTTGCTTAAAAAAATAGTATAGTAAAGTACATGTTTTTAGATTCCGGGTGTAGTTTTATTAAGTGTCTTCTTTTTCTTTGAAAACACTGTTTCATTTAGTAAAAATACTCAGTTTTTATCTGTCACATCTTCTAAAATGCAGATTTTTTGCATTTAGTTTTTGATTTGAAAAAAATTTCGACATTCTCAATAGTTTTTCTATACAATTTATAAAACTAACTCCAAATGTTGATGCATCTGTTTTTTTTCTTGTTGATTTTTGGGTCGAAAAATAGGGAAAAACATGACTAATATTATACTATTAATACAGCTTCGATTAGAACCATTTTTCGTTTAAAATTATGTATCGTTGCATACAGTATACAAATCTAAGTGCCCCGCATATTCTATATACCCAATTGCCTACTCACAACAGTCACCTACCCGCGAGTAGTACCTATCAAATTTTAGATTTTGAGTGAAGAGAAGAATGTATTGGGCTTTGCTATGTGTGTTTTTTTGTGTTTTCAAACAACTTTTGTACTTGACAGTTTTCTACAATAAAAAATTGTATAGAAACTCTCTCGAAGTTATTGATTTAAGTAGTGCTCTGAGGAGGTAATTTTTGATTTTCCTTGTATTTTTCTAATAATTGGGAAAAACTGTAAATTTGTTGTATAATTTTTGTTGATATCTAGATTACCTTAGTAACAAGGAACTAATACGATTAATAATACTTTGCTTATAATCTTTAATTCATTAACAATTGTTTGTTATTGCGTTCAAATTTAAATTAAAGTACCTTGTATATCCTTCTTTGTCAATTCGGTCCTAAAGCAGTGGCACATTTATTAGCAGTTTTTATAATAATACTGTGTTATTATTTTTTCAGCCTTTATCCTTTAGATTGGTTGGCTATAACTTTCTACCAAAACGTACATATTTCAACTCTCGATAACTTTTCGTTCACATGTTATCAAACATTTTCGGTGCATATTTCATCCTGGGTATTCCTTTTCAAATGGCATGAATAGTCAACGTCAACAAATTATAATTGTTCTAGTAACCTATATGACTTATTGTTATTATTATTATTATCATCCCTTATATTTTTTTATAATTTATCGCCAAAGTTGTTTTTTTCTGAATTTTTCATTCGTTACGACTCGGAAATTTTATCATTTCACGGTAACACGATTTTTATTTCGAAAAGATATTTGCCAGTGTAAAAATTGTATATAATTATCATACGAAATTGTTGAAAATTACGCGTGAAATACTTAAAAAAGATATCCACCCGTTTATACCGTGAACATATAAAAAAAAAAAATAATAATAATAATATAAGGTATAGCGTAAATTAACAAAAACCTGAAGTATTTATTTCATTAAACATTATTTATTTATGTATTTATTCTTGGCACTGTAATACGAATACGAACACCGTGAAACGCGCGCCGTGTAATAATATTATTCAATTCCGACGGAATTTATGATAATGAATACTATTAAACACTTTATTTATATATTGTCGTCAAAGTCGAGCATTCATACCGACTACGCGCGATACATATAACTATTGTACTTAGGATTAGTTATTACGAGTGTTTACGTTTGTTTTAAAGTTTGCCGTAATTTTTCACGATGAATACATTATATAATAATAATAATATTGAAATGATGAAAGACCTTCGGACCTCTAACCTTGTAACTACTATAATTTCATTGGAATGATAAAACAATATAATCGACGTTAAAAAAAAAAAAAAAAAAAATTAACTACAAATAAAATTAAATCTATAACAGTAAAAACCGAGAATTATACTGCGCGTTTTTGGAAAATCGTCAAAATATATTCTATAATTGTATGTTTTCTATAGTCCTTTGAACGTTTCTCTGTACCAGCATCAAACGTGTATCGTTTTAAATTCGTATCGGTCGAACCATTTCCTTTTAATAAACATTACAACCGTCGTTGTCGTTTTTGTTTTCTCTTCGGATTTGTTTTTTTTTTTTTTTACATCGTCCGATATTGACGTGAACTCTGTGGCAGATTATACGCACGTTTTTTTTTTTTTGAAACGAACACTAAGCTATGAGTGCCTCTTTTAATACATTTATGATTTATATTTTATTCGAATCGTAAACTCCGAAACCTGTATCGTATAGTTCCATGAAATTATAAATGCGTTTTACTCGAGTACGTTCGGCTATATTATGTATAGCGACAACGTGACACAGCGTTGTGAATAAAATGACTACTGATTTATATACCTTAAGAGAACATCAAAACCGTAGATTGATGAGAAATGGAAAATGTATTTCCATAAAAAAATTCGAATTCGCTTCAAAATAAAAGTTATAAAAGCAATACAATAATTATTATGAATACTTATTCATTGTGTAATGTTGTCAAGAAAAGAACTGCAAATTGTTTTGCACGGAGAAAACTACAATCATAAGCGAAAATTAGCGAAGCCGGCGGACACGAAGGTCATGAATGTATTTTAGGAGCCTATATTGTTATATAACTACCAGATTATAAAATGTTAGTAACTTTATTTTCCCCTGGTAATTACCAGATTTGTGATATCAAAAAAATTAAACAACGTTGAGTAGCAGTGCAAGATTTTATTTTTGTTGAATTTTTTCAAAAAGTAGAGACTATACTGAACAGAGTCTGTTATATTCACAATGGTATTAGGACACTTCTAGAGGTTATTTTTGAACCTAATGATTTCAATATCAAAATTTCAATGTGTTGTGGGAGGAGGATGTATTTTAGTTCTAAACAACCTTACGGAACCTTCAAACGAAGCAACGTTGATAAATTTGTATATATGCATGACGTAAGTAGCAGGAATGTG